TATATATATATATGTGTGTGTGTGTGTGTGTGTGTGTATGCTTGTCTAGCGTTAGTTAGTTCACCTCGTAAGTATTCATTGATGCTAAACGATCTGTCCATTCCAGCTCGAAAATGCTCAAAACAAGTTGTCGCCCGCCTCTGGCATGACCAGAAGTCGTCTTCGTTTCTTCGACGTCTCACAAGTTTGGACATGTTTTTGTACTAAACGCTAATTCGAAACGTTAAATATCTCTATTTTGGTTCAACACACACCTGATGGGAGCTATAATCGGTTGTCATTTGTGTATAATTGAAGCCAAAATTGGCAGTGACAGTGGATCGCGCATGCACTGAATTCCTAATTGTTTCGTATTTGGCTCTACTCAGAGAAATGCCCAGGCATATTAAACTACCAAAGCGATGTGGGCAAAACCGCGCTGCATCTGGCGGCTGGAAATGGGCATCTACAGACGACACAACTTCTGCTACTGCAAGAGGCAAGTACCACAACACACCAGATATGACTGGCCTACATCTGTGTATATCACGTGAGATCATACCTACATGTGTATATCATGTGAGATCATACCTACTTATGTATATCATGTGAGGTCATACCTACATGTGTATATAAGTGATTATACCTACATATGTATATCATGTGAGATTATACCTACATGTGTATATATGTGTAACTATACCTACATATGTATATCATGTGAGATCATACCTACATGTGTATATATGTGATTGTACCTACATATGTATATCATGTGAGTCATACCTCCTGGTGTATATATGTGATTATACCTACATAGGTATGTCATGTGAGATTATACCTACAGGTGTACCTATATACCTACATGTGTATATATATGTGTGACTATACCTACAGATGTATATATGTATTATTCAATTATACCTACATGTGTATATACGTATTATTGAATCATATCTACATGTGTATATATATATTATTGAATCATACTACGTGTGTATATATGCACTATATACCTACATGTGTATTTATACATTACTTATTCACATATACATCACTATATATGCATCTGTTTGTATATGTCTATTTCTAGTCTATCCTAATCGAAACTTAAGGGCCAATGGGCACTACAGTCATCCCTACCCACTGTGAGCAAGGGCCAATGGGCACTACAGTCATCCCTACTCACTGTGAACCCATCTGGCTCTGTTTGCTCTATGGCCGATATAAGTCCAGTACACACCACTTTGAAGCTTCAACACACACACTCGCTTGCTTGTCTCAGCCTAACCTGGTTTATAACCAAATAATAACCCGGTTAAGGGGTCCTTGAGATGCCTACACCCTACTTTTAAGACAACTGTGTACATCCTCGTGTTTATAATGTCTTGCACAGGATTTGGACCTATTGGCACGAGACGAATTGGGGCGAACGGCGGTGGATCTGGCAATGGGCGATGTTGCCAAGACCATCGACAGGGTATGTATGTGGGTTCGTTTTAGGGTTTTAGGGCTTTAGGTTTTCTAACCCCCAAATCAACGGGAGGAGGTTCGTTTCAGGGTTTTAGAGGTTCTAACCCCCCTCGCTTGGCGGTCTGTGTATATCGTTAGAGAGTGCGTACGAGTGCTTGTAAATAAACGTACCCTGCGTCCATGAGTTGTAACGCTTTAGCATCCAATTGCACAGACAACCAGACAGATCACCCCCACAAGCAAATACGAAGCGGAGTGTTGTATACATACGCTTTGACATTGAAATGTATCCGTTTATGTTACACACACACATTCATACACTTTGACATTGAAACGTATCCGTTTATGTTACACACGCGTATGCATACACTTTGACATTGAAATGTATCCGTTTATGTTACACACAAGTATACCTACACTTTGACATTGAAATGTAAATGTGTCCGTTTATGCTACACACACGTATGCATACACTTTGACATTGAAATGTATCCGTTTATGTTACACACACATATATATACACTTTGACATTGAAATGTATCCGTTTATGTTACACACACGTATACATACACCTTGGCATTGAAATGTATCCGTTTATGTTACACACTCGTATACCTACACTTTGACATTGAAATGTATCCGTTTATGTTACACACACATATTCGTCGCCAGGAGATGCGCAAAAGAAAGAGACGAACCGCGGCCGGTGATACAAACAGAGTTGACGACGCCTTCACAATAAAACCAAACGTGGTCACATCTAACGAGCCTGAAGTGGGTATGTGTTAGCTGCCCTATATTTTGTCGTACTGGCTATACTATATGTCTGATGTCATGTGAGTATGTGTACACTGGTTGTACTATATGTCTGATGTCATATGAGTATGTGTACACTGGTTGTATTATTTGTCTGATATCATGTGAGTATTTATACACTGGTTGTAGTATATTACTGATGTCATGTGAATGTGTGTAAGCTATAATGTACTCTGTTACCCTGGTTGTACTAATGTCATGTGAGTGTGTGTACACTGGTTGTACTATATGTCTGATGTCATGTGAGTGTGTGTAAGCTATAATGTACCCAGTTACAATGGTTGTATTATATGTCTGATGTCATGTGCGTATGTGTAAGCTATAATGTACCCAGTTACACTGGTTATACTATATGTCTGATTGAAATGATGCGTGTTTACGCCGATGTAAACTCGGTCGTATCTGTCGTATTTTGTGTTTGATTTCATCTGCCTGTAAATCGCAATTAACTTGTGTACTAGATTGTGCAATCCAACCATGCTCTGCTTACAGAATTCGATCATACGCCGCTTTTAGAGAGAATGGAATCAGAATTCGCAGCGAATGCCAACAGCGACGATCCAATCAAGAGACCAAACGGAGTGCCCTATGAAGAAGTGACAACAGACTACAAGGAATCGTTTTATGGCATACTCGCCGTTACCAAAGATGCAACCGAATCCGACATAAAGACGGTGAGTACGGGCACAAATTTTGAAGAATGAACCTTTCCTATTTGCATCATGTGTATACACAGGCTAGTTCCAATTCAACATTCAGCTATATATATATATATATATATTGTGTATAAGTGTGTTTATATATATATATTTAA